GAGAGACTTTACTCGAAGAGTTGAATCGCTTGAAGCAATTCACAATACCGAGTGCACTACATATGTACGGCGGTTTTCTCATGCAAGCGTCACACTAACTTTGCCGGCGATATAAGGAGATCATAATTCACTCCGTTGTTACAGAGTTGTCGAGATAATTTCTGACCGAGATATGCAAATGTACCTTTGTACTTATATATACGAAAGATTTCTCAGGCAGAGTGCTGAGGATTAAGGCTTTAACGATCATCTCGTTTGGGACTCTCTCTCTCTCTCTCTCTCTCTCACACACACACATTTAAAGCGAAAAACGTGGTGGGTGGTAAAAATTGTCTTCAAAACATTTTTAATTCAAGGCTATATATTAACATCCATCAGAGAATTAAATTATACTACGTACTCTTTTAAGAAAAGAAAAAAAAAAAAATAAATACGAAAAAAAACTCAATTTATCCCCTTAAAGAATTTTTTTGCCCATAAAAAAAATGCACGTCAAGGATTTTTCTTCGATGCACACTGAGAGATACTTTAAATTATTTTTCGAAAATTTTCTCCTTATTTGCAACAGGTAATTTTTTTCTTCTACGTATCATACAATAATACTTTGTTCACTGAAATATAAAAATGGATTAATAAAAAATTATACTTTTTATAAAAAATTATATTAAGTCTAAAAATTTTTATAATCATCAATCTAGATCAGATTTATTTAATTCATATCTGTCAAAGAACTTATTCTACTTTCCATAGCACATAATTATTTTTTTTCTTATTTTCAAGTTTTGTAAAGATTCATATTCTACGAAATTGTATTACAAAACGATTATTTCTTATATCAATAATTAAATAATCAAATTTATATCAATTTATCCCCTTAAAGAAATTTTTCCCTGACAAAATTCTTTTTCCCCCTTTCACTGATTTCTAAATTCAATTTTTCAAAAATTGGAGAATTTTGTTAAATAAATATTTAAATAATTATTAATTGTTTTTCCATAAGAAATTAAATTAGAAAAAATTTTTAATTAAAACCTTCTGAAATTTAATAATATCTTAAAATTACAATTATAATCCCTTCAAAATTAAATTATTTTTTACAATTTTTAACTAAACTTTATTTCCAAATCAACTGTTTTTAATTTTCCATCCAATTGTTTAAAAAAATTTGGTTTTCCATAAATATTGTAACTATAACTGTTTATGGTTCTTCTTTATAAAAGTTATTAAGATAAATTACTAAAAATATTTAACCAAAAATGTTGAAAGTAACTAATTTTTTAAAAATTATAATAAAGAATTACTTAAAATTAATATTTAAAAAAGTATAATCCAAAAAAATTATAATATTATTTTTTGTACGTACTTGAATTTTCGGAAATATATAATTAAAATTATTGAAAATAATTAAATTTTAAAAAATTACAAGTTAAAAATTCAATAAATATGACATTTTAAAAAAAAATATTTTAATATAATTTTAAGAAGCTAATTTTCATATTGATAAATTTACACTTGAAGCTTCTTTTATTAAAATTTTTAAAAATTCAATTATTTTCAAAATTTGCAATAAAAACTCCTCGAAAGTTGATTTTCAAAAAATTGTAATAAAATACTTGAAAAAATCAATGATTTTCAGTTAAATTTTAAATTTTGAACTTTGGGAACAAAATTTGAAATAAATGGAGACTCAAAAATTAATGAACCCCGATAAATAAGAGATGAATATTAAGCAAGAGCAGGTATGACTGTTAGTCGAAAACAACCAAGTTTCATTCAAATTATAACTAAAAATATTGTATTAAAGAAAAAAATGAATTCTCTTATAAAGGTCAATGGATTTTTGCTTAAACGGAACAGCACTTTATTATGAATACAAAAATTTTTTCTGAAATAAAATTTTGTTGATGCGCGTGTCGCCAAAGAGTGTAACGTTCACTATTTAATGCCTACTTATACCGACGTTCCACTATGTTGAGTCATTATTCAACCACCGTTACTATTTGCGTAGTCTATTTATAGAAATAACACAATTTTAATAGAAAAATCTTTAAGATTCTTATACAAATGGATAATTAATTTCGTAGATAAAAATCAATTTCATTGTATTTAGGTTAAAAATTTGTTTAGAATAATACAAACACAGAATTTTATTTTTATATTATTTTCAATCTTTAAGGCTGAAATTCTAACCGATTTTATAAACTTTTTTACTCTCTAACATTGAGGGCAGAAATTCTAACCGATTTTATAAAGATTTAGTAACTTTTTTAATTTTTAACATTGAAGGCTAAAATTTTAACTGATTGACCATTTTATAAAGATTTAGTAACTTTTTCACTTTTTAACATTGAAGGCTAAAATTTTAACCGATTGACCATTTTATAAAGATTTAGTAACTTTTTCACTTTTTAACATTGAAGCCTGAAATTCTAACCGATTTTATAAAAATTTAGTAACTTTTTTACTCTTTAACATTGAGGGCTGAAATTCTAACCGTTTTTATAAAGATTTAGTAACTTTTTTAATTTTTAACATTAAAAACTAAAATTTTAACAGATTAACCATTTTATAAAGATTTAGTAACTTTTTCACTTTTTAACATTGAAGCCTGAAATTCTAACCGATTTTATAAAAATTTAGTAACTTTTTTACTCTTTAACATTGAGGGCTGAAATTCTAACCGTTTTTATAAAGATTTAGTAACTTTTTTAATTTTTAACATTAAAGGCTGAAATTTAAACAGATTAACCATAAAGATTAAGATAAAGATTTAGTAACTTTTTTACTATTTAACATTGAGGCCTGAAATTCAAACCGATTTTATAAAAAGTTACTAACTTTTTTACTTTTTAACATTGAGGGCTGAAATTCTAACCGTTTTTATAAAGATTTAGTAACTTTTTTAATTTTTAACATCGAAGGCTAAAAATTTAACCGACTGATCATTTTATAAAATTTAGTAACCATTTTACTTTTAACATTGAGACCTGAATTTCTTACCAATTTTACAAAGATTTAGTAACTTTATAACTTTTTAACATTGAGGGCTGAAATTTCAACCGATTTTATGCTTCTTCGGTACCTTTCTTCGGTAAGCATCACAGTTAATAATAATTGATACGAATTAATAATTTATTATTTAATAATCAAAATTAATTAATAACAGTCAACATTAATAACAAGTATCAATAATTTTCTCTCAATTAACTATTCAAAACGATCGCAAACTATTAAAAATAACACTAGATATAGATAAAAATAGTAGATAACCGGTTTTTAACCATTGACATTAATTGTTAATTACATAACAAAATGTTTATAAACAATTTTATTAATAGCCTTATTTTTAACTCAGGTATAATAAAAAAAAGGTAGTAAAAGTATAGTTTGGAAAAAAACAAGATTGAAAAAATTGAAATTCTTTCTATACTTTTCCGATGATATAATTTATATTCAATGGAATTATCAAAAAAAACTTTTTATTGTTTCGTCTTTATTTTTAGAACGCGAAAAAAAGGAAACAGATTTTTAAACTTGTTTTTAAATTAGAAATTAGATACTTCTATTTTATAGAAACGATTGAAAATATAATATAAAACTATGTTTAAACTCTTAATTACGGGGTGTCTGAAGAAAAATAAAAATATCAACAAGCCAAGTTTATCGTGCGACCTAAAGATAAAACTTCTATTTGAGGTCCATTGTTTTCGCAACAGACACGAATTGCGTATAGTTTTATCGTGCAAATATTTCGTGCATTCGCTTATTTTAAAAAAAAAAATGTTAATATTATATCTAATTTATATTGTGAAGTAACAATTCATTTACCTAATTTTTCTCTTTTTTAAAAAAATTAAACTTTTTCCTCGGATTTTTAAAATTTTTTAAATTTTTAAAAATTGACACTTTTTAAAAAAAAAACTATCAGATTTGATAGAAATTCAATTATTTTCGACTGCAGGTTTTCAAGCCAGGAAAGTGTAAAGAAAACCCGGAATTATAAAAACGAAAAGAACATCACGATTTTTGAAAAATTAAATTGAAAATTAAAAGTTACACTCAAGAATCTAGCGAGTAAAAATAATGAAAAACTAATTCAATATTAGTCAGACATTAATTCATTAATTACATTTTTTTATCGCTTATCTTGTTTATAAAGTTTCATCATATATTATTTTTGTAAATTGGTATAAAACTTAATTTATTTTTAACAACATTTCCAGTGTCAATGTTTTTAGTTATGAATTTCTTTTTACTTCTTGCAATAAATTATTATTTCCGTAATTAAATTTATATAAAATAATTATTAAAATTAATTTAAAAAGTATAAATAAATATAAAAAAATATAAATGAATATAAATAAATAAAAATAAATAAAATATACACATATGTATATATATATATATATAATATACATTATATAATAAGTCATATTTTATTTTTAAATCCTCTGGAATTCATGATTAAACATAACCTAAATTACATTTTAAATATGTAAAACGATAAGACACGTTAATGTACAAGCTTCTTTAAAATTATATATTTGATATTTCTTGTGAATTTACAATGATATTTTTGAATAATTTAAAATTCGATTTCACTGACGCTTTTCTTTTTATATATACAAAAAAATATTTCCAATGAGTTCAAAAAATTTAAACAACGAAAAATAATAATAGATAAAGTATCCAATTACTTTGCGGCTTCATTTTAATTTTAAATCTAAAAAAGATTTTAATTTTTAAAAGACGAAACTCTAGGGAATTTTTTTTATTACAAATAAGATTATCATCAGAAACTAAAACTGATGTGTCTAAAGAATGAAAAAAAAAAATAATAATCTCCGAATTGTGTAAGCAAATTAAACATTCAAAAGTTCTTTAAATAGAATTTTATGTATTCAAAAGTGTTTCTAGAAACAAAGAAAGATGTAAATTTCGACTAAAAACACAAAAAAGGAGGCTTAAAAATTGTAAATATATATTTTTCTACTATGTACCTGATATTCGTGACCGAATCCAGCATGGTAATCCCAATCAAAAAGTTGTAGTCGCACTAGTACGTCATTTAGAATTTTAATGCAGAAGATAGAAAAAAAGACAAACAAAAAAGTCACTAGATTTGCAAATGGTGAAAAGCAACTATTTTTCAACGTAAACACGTCGACGAAGCACAAAAAATATCACACACGCGTGTTTTTTTTCCCCTCTTTCTTTCTCTTTTTTAAAATATTCGGCGAGAGCAAAAGGCGGAAGAAGGGTATATTGGTGACGGAAGAGCAAAAGACGCCTTTCGCGGCGTAATAGCGCGACGCACTTCTCTTTTCTTTCCGGCGTTAAACGACACTATGCGAAAGAGGAAGATTTTCAACGAATCGCAACTACAGAGCAAACCGCGCACAATCCCAAGCGAGTTTTCATCTATATAAACACTCTCTCGATTCGAATCAACAATTTTATGTGACACACTCACAGACACACACACTGGGGAAAAAGAAGAAACAAGTTTCCTACAATGGGTAGTTTTTTTTTTATATTATATATTTCAATCAAGAACAAACTCGAATAATTTTTTTTATTTAACTTGAAGGGGGATAAATGAAAAATATTTTTTTTTATAATACAACAAAGAAGAACAACCACACTTCAAGAGATACCGCAACATACTGAAGAAGCACATGATTTCGTCAAGGTTAGTATGAGATCTTGTCGCTAGAGTGCACAACTCACAAAGTGTTCGGTTTGGCTCGGTTTAAACCTTCGGCCTACAAGCAGTACAGGCTCTCTTGTATCTATGTAGCCATACACACACGAATAACTTTTTTTTCAAACCATCACAAGGGGTAAACAAATCAAATTATTAATTAATTAATTTAAATTCAAATTGAATTAATAATAAGGCCCCGCGAACTCATCTACTAAAACCTACTATTATCACTTTTTTTTAAGATCTGCTACTATTTGGATACATTTTTTTTTATTTGTTACACAAAAACCTACTTTTTTCCATGCTTGAAAATTTACACTACTGAAAAGTTGTTAACAGTTGAAATAAAAAAAAAATTTTAATAAAGTCAATGAAAAAATAAAAAAAATTATAATAAAATTCTTACGATTCAATTATTTTCATAAATAAAAAAATTTTCACTGGAATTCAATTATTGAAAACACTATTTAAATAGATTTTTAAAAAAATTCTTCGCAAGAATTCAATTATTTTTATAAATAATTAAAATTCTTCTCAGGAATTCAATTAATTTTTAAAATTGCAATAATAAATAAGAATAATAATAAATAATAATCGTTGCAAGAATTCAATTATTTTCATAAATTTTAAAACTCATCGCAGGATTTCAATTAATTTTAAAAAAATTTTGAATAAATTCCCCGAAAAATTAAAATATTCTTAAAAATTTTAATATTATTCTGTGAAAGAATTCAATTATTTAAAAATTTGTTAATAACATTTTTTATGAGAATTGAATTTTAAGAAACATTCAATTATTAAATACATTATTTATTTTTGTATTTAAATAATTAAATTCTCGTAGAATATTGTAATAAAAATTGATTTAAAAATAAATTTTATATTAAAAACACTTTAAAAAAAAATTTTTTTTTTAAATTCTTGTAAAAATTTTCAATTATTTTCAAACGGTATTAAAATTTTTCACCGAAATTCAATTATTTTCAAAAATTTTTATAAAAAGCTACCCAAAAATTTAATTATTTTCATAAACAATAAAAGTTTAACAGGAATTTAATTATTTTAAAAGAATTAAATAAAATTCTACGTAAAGAATTTAATTATTTTCATAAATAATAAAAATTTTACAGGAATTCAATTATTTACAAATTTTTCATAAATTTCTTCCCAATAATTCAATTATTTTCATAAATATAAAAAAACTTTTTAGGAATTCAATTATTTTTGAAAATTTTAATAATAATCGTTGCAAGAATTCAATTATTTTTATAAATATTAAAATTCATTGCAGGATTTCAATTATTGTTAATACAATTTGAAATGAATTCCGTGAAATTTGCAACTATTCTTAAAAATTTTAATAAACTTCTTTGCGAGAATTCAATTATTTTAAAAAATTTATTTGAAATTATTTATAATAATTGAATTGTTTTCAATATAATTTTAATAAAATTTTTTAAAAGAATTCAATTATTTTTATAAATAATATACAATTTTCAAAGAAATTCAATTATTTAAAACACAATTTTCATAAATTTTTTTGAAAAAATTCATTTCTTTAAACAGATTTTTTAAAATTCTTCTCAAGAATGCAATTATTTTAAAAACTTTATTAAAATACGTTGACTAAAATTCAATTATTTTCATAAACAATAAAACTCACCGCAGGATTTCAATTATTTTTAATATAATTTTAAATTTATTTTTCTAAAAACTCAATTATTCTTCAATATTTGAATGAAATTCTTCAAAAAAATTCAATTATTTAAAAAAATTTTATATAATTTGTTTCTAAGAGTGTAATAATTATTTTCAATTCATTTTTAATTACATTCCTTGAATGAATTTAATTAAGTATTATAAAAAAATTTTAATGCAATTCTTCGTAAAAATTCAATTATTTTAAAAAAATGTTGATAAAGTTTTTTATAAGAATTTAAATTTAAGAAATATTCCCAATTATTCAATTTTATTTTTGTATTTAAATAATTGAATTCTCGTAGAATTTTCTAATAAGAATTGATTTAGAATTGAATAAAATAAAATTATTAAAGTTTTGAATAGGTTTAGGATTTATAAATTTCAAAAAAAAATGATTGAATTTTGAAAGAATTATTTTTGTAATTTTTTAAAGATAGTTAAATTTGAAAAATGCGTTACATTTAAAATCATTTGAAATATTTTAATTTCTGCAGACAAAATAAATAAGTATTTAAATATTTATTTTAAAAAATTTTTCTATTTTTGAATGTAATTAAGAAATTATCAAAAAAATTGAGTATACTTTTTAATAAAGTTGATTTTAATGTAAACAAACGGTTTTAAACATTGTGTTTAATGTTTTTTTTACCTATGGGTCGTGACACTTTTACCCCATTCTTTAATTTTTTGGTTTAAAAAAATAGTCGATTTTAATTTTTATTATTTTATTATTACCCCAAAGTTTGTGACACTTTTACCCACATTATATAATTTTTAGAAAAAAAAAATAAATTGGGTGTAACTTTTTTTTTACTATTACCCCATGGGTTGTGACACTTTTACCCCATTTTATAATTTTTGATATGGAAAAAAATGAATTGTCGGATGTAATTTTTATTTTATTCTATTCATAAAAATAAGAATAAACAAAATTTTTTTTTTATTATTATTTAGAAAATGAATGTTAATAAACAAAAATTTTGCACAAGTGGTGAAAATTCAGTCGATGAAATCGGGTCAAATGAAATGGCGAGTCGGACCTCGCGCAATCGAAAGCGTTTGGTTTGAATCGCAACATGTTTATTTTCAGCTCGTTCTAAATGTGGATATCTTATGTAAAGTAACCGCATGTGCGCAGACGACAATGCTATGTCACAGGTGTTTATGATAACATGCAGTATGATTATCCGTGGTTTTCAGATTGATATATAGAAGAAAATTTCTCTTATCACGCGCTTATTATAAGTCGTATATACATATTTTTTTCTCTCTCTCTTTCACAATATATAATATATACATTTTACTTTTTTAAAAAAGAACCGCATGAAATCTAAAGTTTTCCTCTTTTTTTCCCCGCATTTTGAAAAAGATAAATGCTTTTCAAAATATAATCACGATTCATCATCAAATAGCTATTTTTATTTATAAATATATATAAAACAAAAAAAAGGGATTTTAATTTTCATGTCAAGGTGTTCTTTCGGTTTCTTTCATCTTTTTTTTTTCTTTTTAAATTTTGCAAATTTTTTCATCTTTAAAAGAAGCGGTAAATTATTTTTAATTTCTTTCTTTTTAATTGTCTTCTATAAACAGTTAACGGCTAAAATTAGAAACGAGCTTGAAATAATCTTTTCAAATAATCAGTCGGCAGGTGTTAAGTATGAGCCAAACAATTTTTATCTCATATCGTTGTCGTGAAATTATTATACTTGTGCGATTCAAAATTAGAAAATGAAAAAAAATAGCATATTATATGTTGGGGTAGAGAGAAAATTTAATTATATTTGGGCATATAATGGTGCTTGTACTGTCATGCTGACTATCTATATTTTTAACTGATAAATTACATATTGTACATGCAAAGTTTGTTCATTAATTTTGAATCTATTGCTGAAATATTTAATGCACAATTCATTTTCAAAATAAAATTTATTTTATTTGTTGTAAATTTTAATATTCTTTGTGGCCTGGTATTAATAAAAAAATACCAAAAATTTGAATCAAACTTGATTAACATTAAAAGTACGAAAATACTTTGAAGTTAATGTTCTTCATACCGTGAATGGTGTTAGAATAATACGTTCGTTTAATTTATATATATACGCAACTGTAATATATATATATGTGAACCTGAAAAATATACACGTGCAGGTAAAAATACATTTTCGTATTTTTTTCCATGTATACATATGAGGGCTGAAAATACAATATATATATATATATATATGTAATGTCTAGTACACACAAATGAAGTCTCTTTTCAAGTATGTTGACACTGGTAAATAGATAAGATAACAGATGATACCAACCAATCAGTGTACTTCTCCACGTAGACCATAATACAAAGTCACTTTTGTTGTCTGTGTAAATGAAAATACACAATTCCACAGAAATAATATATTAATAAAACAAAAAGCTTAGGGAAATTAAATCACAAATATTTTTTCAAATTACATATGTATGTACAAAATAAGATGGCATTCAACTATTTGGTTATGTCATTATTGCATATCTTTAATGACTCTTTAATCGTTTAAAAATATTTTCTTTTTTTTTAATATTAAAAAAAGATTTTTGAAATTTTCTTGAAAGTGTTAAATTATTGAATTTTATAAACAAAGTTTTAAATAATTAAATTTTTTCGACGAATTTTAATAAAATTTTTTTAAATATTTACATTTTTCGTAGCATTTGAAAAAAAAAATGGAACAAAAAATAATTGAAATTCTCCGAAGAGTTTGATTATTCATGAAAATAATTAAGTGTTTGCGTAGAATTTTAATAAAACTTTTCAAATAATTGGATTCTTTTGAAAAATTTTATTAAAATAGATATTGAATATTATTGAATTTAGGAAAATTCTTACAAATAATTGAAATTTTGCAGAGAATTTTTTAAAAATTTTTGAGAATAATTGAATTTCTGCGAAGAATTTTATTATTTTTGCAAATAATTGAAATTTTCCAGAGAATTTTATTAAAATTTTTGAAAATAATTGAATTTCTGCGAAGAATTTTATTATTTTTGCAAATAATTGAAATTTTCCAGAGAATTTTATTAAAATTTTTGAAAATAATTGAATTTCTGCGAAGAATTTTATTATTTTTGCAAATAATTGAAATTTTCCAGAGAATTTTTTAAAATTTTTGAAAATAACTGAATTTCTGCGAAGAATTTTATTATTTTTGCAAATAATTGAAATTTTCCAGAGAATTTTATTAAAATCTTTGAAAATAATTGAATTTCTGCGAAGAATTTTATTATT